GTCTGCTACTGATTTGTCAAGATGTTTATTGGATTGGCTATTGCCATCTATTAATTTTCTCTGTTCTAAGGCCTGTTTTAGAAATGTTAAGTATCCTATCGGTGCATCAAACCAGACATAAAACACATAATCTTCAAAGTCTTTCAGAGGCACTGGTACACCCCATTTGTATTTCAATAATCTAGTCATACATCTTGGCTTAATATCTTTAACTATCCATTGCTTGTAAATTGATTTAGCATTTTCAGACCATTTTTCAATATTTAGATTGGAAACATATTTCTGTAATCTATCTAGTCTAAGGTATAAATGATTGGTAGATTTCTTTGATGGACAACTATTACATATTACACACTTAACATTGCTTAATACGCCTTTTACATTACTATCGGACATCTCTCCAAAGCATCGACCACACCCATCACATTGATCACCATGTGATAACTGTCCACAAGGACATGTTCCCTCAACATACCTATCAGCTAAAAATTGCTCGCATTTTTCACAATAATATTGAGTGAGTGAAATAGATTGAAACTGATTCCGTGTTTTCATAAAGATATCTTGAACTAACTTTCTATGCTCCTCACAATGTGTATGCCCAAAATAATTGAAAGATAGATTAAAGAATTTGTAAATTTGAATATGCAACTGTCTATTTTTGAGAACAATATCAATGGGAAGAATAGGTGTATTATCGGATTCAACTTCTGAGATAGATTCAATGTCATGAATATTCAATGTTGGACTACACTGCTTTATCTTCTCTGCTGTAGCCTTAATTGCTGCCATCTCAGTTGCGGTTCCATATTCGTCTGTTCCACTAATAAATATTGTATCGTATCCCATCTTTCTACAGAACCGTGCATAGACATCTGCACTAAGAAGTGATCCAATTATATTTCCCAAATGTGGTTGATTATTCACATATGGAAGTGCACTAGTAATAAATTTCTTAATGTTAGCATTTTCTTCAATGTTTACTATTACTCTAGCATTCGTATTGCCATTCCTGGGCATATCATTATTTCTTTCCATGGGTGAAATATTTTAAAGGCAAATCAATTATAAAAATGAAGACATCTGTAGAAATTTTACAGAAAGCATGATGATTTCACCAGATAAGTTAATTAGATAGACTCTGAATAGAACACTGCCATTAATATGGATGTTCATGATTCATCAATTGCCATAAATAATGGCTATCCTACCCAAAGTAATATATTTCAAAGGTTAGGAGAAAGTATGTTGATAAATATACCAAAATACTATGTGTATGATATGTTAGATGTGTGATTTATCCTTCATATTGATGTTTAAATACCATCCTATACTCATAAGGAATTATATAAATAATATTTGAACAAATGCCCAATAAAGTTTTTATTGTTATTTTCAATTAAAAAGGGATATAGAATATACTTATTTAAGATCTTGATATTGAGATATCTTTTTATAGTCCAAGATGAAATTTTAAAAGTTTATGCTACCTCATAAATATAACCCAATCTATATGAATTATTCTTTTCTATAAATCACAAACAATTTCAGTTTATCCGCGATGGTGTAACGGTCAGCATACTAGCTTGTCACGCTGGAGATTCGGGTTCGATTCCCGGTCGTGGAGTGTTTTTGTGTATTTTTCCAGTTTACTTAATATTCCTATATAAAATCGCTTTGAGATGTTGAATTCTTTTTATCTGATATTCACTTTTCCACTAATCATTCTCTAATGAATTTATGTCAAATATATTTGATTAGAATTAAAAATCTCTAATCTTATTAATTATGTCATCTTTTTATCCTTAGCTTAAATAGTTTTATAAGGTAATAACTATTCTGGACTTTTATGAATTCTTTTATAAAACTACCACCCAAATGTGTGGAATTGATTTAAGAAGTGGTGTAAACTTGCCAGAAAAATTACAAAAGTATATTTACCAGCGTGGGAAGGATTTTAACAATACCATCTCATTCCAAGTATCTACAAGTGGTCAAATTCAGTATATTTCTTCCATAGAGACTAGGGAAAATAATTCCCAATTTACAGCTACATCAAGTGTACTATCACTAAGATTAAAGATCTCTCAGCCAGTTCTAAATGAACGCTTTGTTCTACAATTTAATGGCGAATTATTTTCTTATATGGAGAGTGATACCAAATTCATAGAAAATGCAATAGTAAAAAATTGTCACAGATGTGATGATTTTGATTTCATTGAAAGTATTTACAAGGAAATTAATTCTTATGAAAATGATCTTGCTATAGTTATCTTTCGAAATCACAAGGTGTATTTTTTTAAGGATGATGTTGGAAAAAGGAGTTTGGGGTACTCTTTCCTTCCGATGGATAATGAACTATACCTATACAAACAAGGCTTTTCAGTAAGCTCATTAATGTATCAGAATGAAATTGATTCCATGAAATTGTATATTTATGACTTTGAGCTGAATGAACTCCACTCAAAGTTCAAAACCAATTCTCTATTGGTCATCAAATACTTGTCAAATTTCCACAGAATTAACAACTTTATTAGTCTACCAAAAAATCATGGCAAATACAAATTCTTAACTGATTATGAAGCTTATACAGAAAATGGTAACAACCAAAAACCTAATATTGTTGATTCAATCAATTTCAATAACTCTGATAAATATATTGGTAATTTTATACACCTCTTTGGAAATTCTATAAAGAAAAGGCTTATTGGACTCCCAAATAACTCTATTTGTATTTCATTCTCTGGAGGTATAGATTCTTTATTGGTTGCTATATTTTTGCATAGATCAGCTCCAATAGTCCATAATTTTTATTTTATTAATACCTCATTTCCGGACCATTTTGATCGAATTCAAGCCGAGAAGAATTTTATGGAGTTTGAAAGTTGTATGGGTTCGTCTAGAAAGTGCTATTTTATTACAAACGATCTTTCTATCGAAAAAGTCTTAGAACATAAAAATACCATTATTGATTTAATTTATCCAAAAAATAGTCGAATGGATTTTAATATCGCAGCCATACATTATTTTACAGCAATGAAATCTGTAGAATTCTCCGCTGTTTTATTCAACGGTTCTGGTGCTGATGAGGTGTTTGGTGGATATAATAAATATTCAAGATCCCCTCAAAATTTCAGAGATAACATATTTTTTGATCTCTTTACAATAAGTACTCATAATCTGACCAGAGACGATAGGGTTATTTCAAATTTCAATGTTGAAGTTAGAACACCATTTTTAGATGCCAATTTAATATTATTTTCTATGAGTTTAGACAATTCGGCATTAATTGATATTGAGAAATCAGAAAACAAAGCTATTCTAAGAAATGTTTTGAGACATTTTGGAATGCAATTTAGCTCAACAACTATAAAAAAAGCAATGCAGTTTGGCTCTGGAATTAAAAATTATGAAAATTTATTGTTCAACTAACAGTATTTTAGTGATAAAACTCAATTTGCATACTATATAATGAATAAATCTATAAAAACAATTTCATCGTGAATAAAATCCTTCTTAGATTTAAAGACATTAAAAATTCAAATACATTCATTTTTATTTATGGTATATATCTTACAGTTCATCAAAGTCAATGGGTTCAAACATGATCTTTTTTGGAGGCTTAAATTCGCTATGTGATTTATACTGGAGAAGCTCATCTAAAAAGTCAAGTCTAGTCTTTTTCCCAATTCTCTCCACATTTTTATTTTTATTTTCAAAATCATGAAGTTTGTGTCTAATATGGACAAGTTCGTCTTTTGTTAAAATATCTCTCAATGGCCGCATTTCATGCAGGTACATACAATCAGCATTCTGGCACGGAATGGTTTTCAGAAAGAATGAGCAATATTTTGTTGTTCCATATGTACAGCGTAGCATTTTAGAATCCAAAACACTCTCGTCCACTTCTTGTATACATCTTTTAGCTTCAAGCTCATTAGAATAAGTAATATAGGCACAGGACGTAATTTCATTTGTGTTTCCTCGCCTGTTGATGATAATTTTTTTGATATTTCCAAATTGACCGAAATATTCTTGTTTTCGAAGAATGCACTCCTCTGAGTATTTTTGAGAAATTCCAACTATGTAGACTAGATTTTTCTGCATTACACGAACATTAAAAAAATCAGGCTCGCTAATTGTTAATGTCTCATTTTCTGCCATTTGGGGATTTCAAAAAATTGCTGTTTCCAAAAAGTAAATTTTGATAAAATTTTATCATTTTTAAAATTTGAAAAGCGTTCCATAAATCTCTCAGCAAAAAATTGTTACAATACTCTATTTTACTTCATTTGAGAGGTGAATTTTTGGTTACAATGAAAATAAAGCCCAAATAACTCTTTAAAAATGTTGGATATATTCTATCAAATTGTGTTTTTAATTGAGGAGTTAATTTATAAAGATTTCCGCCAATGCTTTTATGTCCAAGGTGTATTCATTAACAATAAACTCATTTGAATAATTCTCACTATTGGGTGATAGTAAAGAATAAAAATAGCTTTTTCCTTAACAAAACCTTTTATGAATAGTATATAGAAAAGGATATTGAGCTGTATCTAATCTTGTTTAGAAAGGCCTAAAAACATCTTAGCAGGACCTCCATTGTATAACCTATAAATCAACTTATAATATTAAGACAGGTTCTTTATAGGATTGTTTTTAGTTTCCTCTATTTTTAGCCCCCATATGTCCTCTTTCAATTACGATAGCTATATAATGTTTAATCCAGAGGGAAAAGTTATGCAGTTGGATTATGCTAGACGCGCTACAGAGCTGGGCAATACCTGTGTCGCAGTGAAAGGTAAAGATTGTGGAGTACTTGTGGCTCACAACCCATTAAGAAGTAAATTGGCACATCCTCAGAACAAGATTTATACGATTTCGGATAACGAGAATTGTACCGCACTTTTCACATTTTCAGGAATTACCAATGATGGGCTTTCAATCGTAGAGTATTTAAAGGATAACGCTCTTGTAGAAAACGTAGTAAAGGATAGGAATATCCATCCAATACATGTTTTTGACGATCTGGTTGTGTCCATGTCATTCAGTGCATTAACTGGCCAATCTCGCCTATGTGGTGTCTCAGGAATTCTACTTACCTCCGAATCTTCAGGACGAGTTTCAATTACCATAATAAATCCTGATGGAAAAGTGTCTTCTGTAAAAGGAGGTTCCATAGGAAATAGAAACCAGTCTTGCAGAACTATTTTAGAGGATGAGGTGGATAACTTTGAATCCATGGATGTGAATGAATTAATATTAGTTGGACTAAGGTCTTTACAAAATGCACATCCAGATGTTGCTGAATTAAAACCGAGCGAAATTGAGATATATGTAGTTGGTAGGAAACTTCAAAAGATTAATGCTGAAGATTATTTACAAAATTAATAAATAAGTGTTCATTGATTAGGTTGTAGCTTTTAAATGATTCTAGTCAAGTTTAGAAAATTATTACCAGTAATTAATTATTTGTTTAGTTAAAAGCAAAACAATAATATTATTGAACAAATCTAATCCATTCAATTTAAATGGCTAAGAAGGAAGATGTCAGGTCGAAATATAATTTTTTTCCAGAATTCGATTCTATAATATGTACAGATGAGTATGGATTTATTAGAGACCAATTTGTAACCAAATATGGGACTAAGGAAGATATTCTGCTAAAGCATGAGTGGTTTGATCTTTTAAGAAAATACGAGTTTAATCTTAAAATGTTTAAAAGATCAGCCGTTAGACGCAATCTACTATCGAGAGGAATCCCACTCTCTTTGAAATATCGAATTTGGACAAAGTTGATTCCGAGAGCAGACTGTGACTACGAAAGATATCGAGCTCAACCATCTTCTTGTGAGTATCAGATCCATGTGGATGTTCAAAGAACATGTAGATTTCACTTTTTATTCAATAAAACGTATGGAAAGGGACAATGCGAGCTATTTAATGTGTTGGTGGCCATCTCTAATTATAAATCAAATGTAGGATACTGCCAAGGAATGAGTGATATTGCAGCGATTATTCTGATGTATTTCTGTGAAAAAGAGGCATTTAATTTTTGGATAGCTCTGATGGAGAAGAACAACTTAGATGGGCTATTCGATGAAAAACTATCACTTCTGCTCCATATTACAGATCCTCAGAATGAAATATTTTCAATTTGTATACCTGAAATCAGAACTCATTTAGAACATAACCAAATCGATTTTACAATGACAGGGATTGGATGGTATATGACGTTTTTTGCGAGGTTTTCTATAAAATTGACATTAAAAATATGGGATTACCTGATGTTTTACGGATTTAACATTTTGATATATTTTTCGTGTGCTATTCTGAAGTGCTTTGAACCTGATCTGTTAGAAAGGAGATCAGAAGAGTTATTAGAATATCTAGCTCAAATTGATCAGGCTGAAATTAATGAAGAATTGGTTGTGAATATTGTTCAGGCATTTATAAAGAAATCAAAGGGTGTGTTTATAAATGAGCTATAACTACTTATGATAGTATATAAATATTGTTTATTATATTATAAAGAATTCATATTTATTGTAAAAATAGACATAATGTATACTTACAAGATCATAGCTGTATTAGGGTTTTCATTTTAAATAAAAAAATCCCCAATTTTATTCTTTCATAAGTGGAAGCATCTATATGTTATAACAGGATATTGTAGTAGCTTAATGCCATTAGGGTACTTTGTTTCATCTTGTCTGTTTATTTTGTTTCATAAATTGTGTTTCATTTATATTAATTTTTTATTGTTTTGGTAATGCTGGGAAAAAAGCAAATTAAAGGTGGTATCAGAGTTCTGTTTTTAATGATTCAATTTCTGATACTTCTCTCGGGGATATCCCTAATTCTATTTTCCTGGACTATCTATTACCGCTCTACAAATCTCCTACATTTATCTTTAAACAGCATGATCCCAATAACAGTTTTAGGAATAATGTGTATTGTTAATAGTATTTCAGGATATAAGGTAATTGATATGGTTAGTAGTAAAAGCAATAGTACAGGAACTAATTCTAATGACCCAAACAACAGAAATGGCAATGCTAAACTTATTTTCTTCTTGTTTTTGCTTTCCTTATCTGCTCTTCTTAACTTGGAACTTATAACTGTGATCAAATCAAACAAATTTGTTGATCAGAATAATGCATGGACAAATATAAGATGGAACTCACTATCCGATATGCAAAGAAATTTTGTGCAAGAAAAATTGGAATGTTGTGGTTTTGAAACCATTCACGATAGAAATGGATCCAGATGTAATTTTCAAAGATCCTGCTCACGTGTATTTCTGACAATTGGTGAAAGTATGAGAAGTTGGATTCAGAGGATATTTGTTGTATTGTTCTTCATAGAAACTATTGGATTATGCTCTATTGGATTTTTGAAGTTTGGAAAATAATTTAGTTTTAATAAAAATCACGATATATTAAATTTCTTTGATTAATATTGTAGGATATGATAAGTTTTTTTACTTCAAGAGTTATTTTATAAAAGATATTAAAATGAATGGTGCATGGACCATATTCTTTTTAAAATAATTTAATAGGAGAATAGATGTGAAGAATTAAGTGATAACCTACCTATCAAATGATTCTGAGTGAAAACAAGTTTTCACTTGATTATAATATAGTGATCTGATGGTGGAAGGAGATGATACAGATACATATCAATAATAAATTAGATTATAATAACAGGTCTTGAAATAGTTCCTATTTTTTCAACAAATGTAGGGCCATCAATCGTAATATAATGTTCATTAGTGAAATTTTCAGTTATAGCTCGACCACTTTACGATCAAAAAGATGAAAATAACCAAAAGTTGTTATAATACATTTATTTCTTCGTTTAATATATTTTCACCCTTAAATGTTTTCTTATATTTGTTCAATTCTTTCTCAACATGATTCAAATAAGTTATTTAATGAAATGGTTTCCCTTCCAATCACTGATAAGACTGATTTGTCTGAATGCCACTCTTCTCTATCTCGTTTTTTCCACTACATTATATCCAAGTCGGACCAAAGCTCTATCTACTTCTATGAGGCAAGTAAGATGCTCAGAATTCTAGATGATATTGTTGAAATTATCCGTAAGAACGAAATAACAAATTCTCGTAAAAATGAAATTCCACCAAGTGGCCGATTTGAAGAGTTAGCAGGGAGAGTAAATGTAAATAATATGGGAGTAAAGGAATTGTCTAACGAGAGAATCATTACCAATAGTCCTCAAAAAACTATGAGTAATTCGGTAGATAGCAATTTTTATCAACAATCTAATTTAGTTGAAAGGCCAAAAGATGTCATAGATGATATTGTTGAAGTTTATATGGATAGTTTAAAAAATTTTAGCAAAAATATTCCTGAGAAGATTCTCCATGATCACATTGAATATTTAGATACTAAAAAGTGATAAGAAGTTAGAAGATGACTATCTTATATCCGAGAGTCTCATATTTAATATAAAGTAATTATATAACTAAAATAAATTCTTGAAAGTGGATTAGTTACTCACTATTAAACCTTTAATACATTATCACAGTGGCAATTATTCAGTTTAAGACATAAAGCGATTTTGTAGAAGAAGAGTGTGAAGCTTTGATGGATTAACCACTTTAGGTATTGTTTCTTATTGTATAATAAATTTGAAAGAAGAAAAATAAAATTGCAACAGCAGTAGATGATATAAACAGTGGTAGTAGTACGGAAAACTTTTCTATAGTTCATCAAAATACTTTAAAAATTATTCTTTATTAATCCTTCTAAACCCACCTTTCTTCAACAATTCCAAATCAGTTTCTGGCATCTCACTTAATTTCGACATAAGTGATGAGATGGTATTATTAATCTCTGAAATTGAAGCTGTAATCTGTCTATTTTTAACAACACAATCTTTTTCAAAGTCAATCTTCTTTCTTTTTAACTCTTCAATTACAGCCTCTGCTGATTTAACATCCTTTGGTAAAGAAATCCCATGTTTAAGCAAAATATTAACCAGATCAATATTTAAATTAAATCTTTTAGATTTAATTAACGAACTAATTGTAAAACCCAAGGAGTCAAATATTTTAGAATCAAATTCAGATTGCTCCTTAAGTAATCTGTCTATATCCTTTCTAAGTTGAGAAATTTCCACTCTGATAGAATCCTTCTCATCCTCTAACTGCTTTTGAAGGAGGATATCCTGTTCTAATTTCTGATATTCAAGTTCCATATTATGAATTACTTCTTTCTTGGATGTTTTCTGATCGAGCAATACTTGCTTCTGACTTTTCAAAGAATCAATCCTAGATTCTAAGGAATTTATTTCTGGATTAGATTTAGTCTTAGATAGGGCTGCCAACTTATCTAACTCAGATTTAAGTTCTGAGATCATTTTCTGATGTGTATCAATTGGGATGGATAGAGCTGCAATCTTTTGCTTAATTTCTCTCATAGTTGTTTCTAGGGTCTTCAACATTCTTATATTCTCCTGTGATTCACCCAACTTATTTTTCTTTATTTTTAGAGTCAGTAATTCTGCTGCAATACTCTTCTCTTCCTTTGGAGTAACCTTTTCGACAATCAACTTTCTGTTCAATTTCTCAATTGACTCATCAATGTCTTCAACAGTAGTAGAATCGTACTTACATCCAGCTTTGTGAAGATTGTCTATTTTGTTTTTTATTAGATCAATCTCATCAAAATGTGCTTTTTTTTCAGCACGCAAGCTTCTTAGTTTGTCTGACTCTTCTGAAATCTTCAAAATAAACTTCTGCCTGGGTGAAGATTCCTTCTCCTTCTTCACAATGTCGGATATTCTTTTTTGACAGAATTTCATATCGTCCTCAATCTTCTGAATCTGATCATTTAAGCCTCGAATTTGCAAGGCAACTTCCCTAACACCTGGAACACTTCTTCTCTTTTCAGAACTTCTATTGCTACCCAGAATGTCACTTTCTGCTGCCATAGAACTAGTTACTGAATTTGTCATTGAAATTGTCATTGGGGCTCTTTAAAGACAAAATTACAAAACTTTTAAAAAAATTTTCAAAAAATTCAAAAGCTTTTACCATACAATAATCTATGAGAATATTATAGACATTGTACATAGCATAATATTATCTACTAAATATTTAGTTTGATTGTTTATAAGAAAATATTTAATTAGATACTATAGTTTATTGAGATATATTACATGCTTAATTTAACCAGCTTATATACCGTTTTAGTTACAAAGAAAAAAGCTTTTATGTATGGATAAAATGTTGTTGGATGGAAGACTAAACTCCAAAATATGAAAGAAACACACCAATCAACATACTTCAATTTCTCTCAAAACAAACTAAGTCCAAGGTAGGTATTTAAAATCACAACTTGAAACAGATATAAATGAAGCTTATTTATAAAAAAGATTTCCCCTAATAACCTCCATATTGAGTTTTTATCATTAAAACCCCCGATTTAAACAACTAAAACATCAGATCCATTAATTCATACAATATTTTGGGCATCCTTCACAAATAGTTAATTCATCTACAACCTCATTGGATAGTTTTAATAATAGAGGTACTTATTTTCGGCCAAATTTCTAAAATTTTTTAAGATAAATTAATTAGTTAATAAACCAAGAATAAATAGTTCATTAAGGGGTAATTTGTATTTTTCTTACCATATCACCATTTATTGTGTATAATGCTGTTATTTATGTTTTAGTCTGTGATCAAATAAATAAAGTAATTTCATTCCAAATTATTTTTCCCCCTAATCTCTATGTTTGATAGAAGTGTTAGTGCTCCACCAATGAACAAATTTAATGACATTAGCGATGATTTAGAATTTGATAATATAACAAATCAATTACATCAAGTCTATTTTGATAGACATGATAGGAATAGTGAGTTTTGCCGCCCAAAAATATTTATCGGAGACAATTTGCCATTTTGGCAAACGGAGAGAGATAGTTTTATCAAGAAAGCATTTTCCGTAACCAAAACAACTGTTCAAATGATCGATAGCGATTATCCAGAAGGAGAAAAGTGTATTAGCTTTAACGGTAGATCCCGCACAGGCACACCAGTTGGGGATAAGAATTTCGACTTTGATCTAATTAGCTCTGGATTGCAGACTCCCATATATATTCCAATTCCCATTAGCTCAATTCAGAAGGAGAATTCTTCTCCCTTAATTTCTGAAATTTTAGAATTCTACAAATCCATTTCTACAGAGTCTGTTGAAGATCCAAAAATTATCTGTGTGACTGTATGCAAAGATCAAGAAGGATCAAGATTCATTCAAAATAAGATGGATGAGTGGACCGAAATGCAGATATCATATTTCTATAATCAGATTGTAGATTGTGCATTTGATCTGAGTACGAATCTCTTTGGAAATTATGTCATTCAAAAGATTATTCCCAGATTAAATTCCAACGAATGTGATAATCTCGTGATTCAGTTCTGTGATCATGTATATGAGCTAAGTGTTCATGTATATGGTTGCAGAGTTATCCAAAAGCTTATAGATCATGTTGAGGATATTTCTTTTGTAGTTCGAGAATTAGAACACCACATATCCGATTTAATAGGAAGTCCGAATGGAAACCATGTTATTCAAAAATGTATTGATAAGAATATCGACAAGAGGTTTATCATCAGAGAGTTTGAGAACAATTGTATTTTTTTAGCTCAGCAGAGATATGGTTGCCGTGTTTTACAACGACTGTTTGAAGTCTGTGATGAATCTGAGACCATCAAACTTTACACAGAAATTTTAGATAGAATTTCTGATCTGATTAATGATAAATATGGAAACTATGTGATACAGCATTTGATACAATCTGAAAATTCCCGAAGAAATGAAATATTTGATTATATTATTTCCAATTCTGTTGATCTGAGCAAGTTTAAATTCTCATCAAATGTGATTGAGAAGTGTGTAAATAGTAGCACAAAGGAGCAACTTGAGCAATTTCTTGTAGAGTTCTCCAAAACATCCTCTGATGGAAAGCCATGCCTCTTTCACATGTGTACAGATATGTACGCCAACTATGTTGTTCAGAGATTCTTCGATACTGCCGATCCAGATCTAAGAGAGCGAGCTAAGAAAATTCCAAGAAAGTATATCAAGGAGATGAAGCTCATTCCATTCACTAAGCATATCTTGACCAGACTGTCTAATTAATAAATTCCTAACAAAGAAAAGCTTTTTACTTGTTAACTTAATGATACCTTGGTATTGGCTAAATATTAAGTTTTTGTAAACAAGCCCAGTCATTCTTGTCAAATTTTTGAAAAAATATTTTTACAATATTTGAATAAACATACCAAGGTATTTTTAAATTTGGAAATTATTAAATTAAATTTGAACTGTCCTGCCTAGAATTGAAAAGTTTTCAAAATAACAATAAGTATTTTACAATCTTCTGAATTGTTGAATAATTTATCTCAACTTCCTTCTTTTTGATGTTGATTTTCTTCCCTCTCCTAAATTATTTCGTAAAATATTAACTTTATTTTATACCCATGGATACTTCTGAAAAAATTGACAACGATAATTATAAATGTAATTTCAAGGCTGGAGATCTTGTCTGGGCTAAATTTGAGGATTCTCCATT